CTTTCTCCACCAAGAAAATCGAAAAAAGTAGATATTCAATAACATGATAAAAAATGACGAAAACAAGACCGTATAGATCGGATGGTCAGTCATTCAATCACTTAGTAAGTCTCGAGCTTTAAATAAACTAGAACATTTTGTATAAGCATGAAAATAACTTCGTATAATTTCTTGATTTTATAACTGTGCTTTGCAACGATCATTTTCACTGTAAAGACGTTACAAACGTGACACCTAACATTGTCTCTCTCTCTCTCTTTATAAACGTTCGAAGCTGTGCTAGTAACAAAAAAAGAACAAGAACAAATGACGACTGTCGTCGCAACTCTTGACAATTTTTTTTCTGTTCTCGATATATTCTATTCAATCCAAGATGTGTGTACGTGAATAAATACGTTTACAAATAATCATCTATTCACTGCTTGCTCACTACCAAGTTTGTCATGTTATTTTTCATCTCTCTTTTTTTTTCCTCTATATCTTCCTCAGCAGTGAATTTAAATATGGTGTATAGAGAATAACAATAAACTGGAGAGACAGTGTTGATGTGCGTGCATGCCGTACGGTCTAGTGTAAGGATAAGATGAAGAGAAAAACTTCCTCAATTACTCACCTACTCACTCACGTCCTCATCATACAGTCCCATCCGCATTGACCTCGAGGCACATACCTACATATCCATTTACCTGTGCATCTCATACTCTCCGAAATCAGAATATATATTGATATTTTTATTTTTTTCACGACCTTTTTTCTGCATATCGTCGCTTCATATGATCATATAACATAAAGAATAAATATAAGGATTAGAGTATTAAATTGCATTCAGGTAGTCGTTGTATGATCTATACGGGCACATATTATATTCTTAAACAAATGTATTGGACGAAAATACGATATATATTTTGTATATATACTTGCCCTGCATCATGTATTAAGTTAATAAAGAAAGTAAGATAGAGACTCAAAATTTTGGCTGACCAATATTATATTCTCGCAAGTCAAGAATTGATTAGAAATTGAAACTATTTAAAGTAATCGTAAATTATTCAGACATATAAAAACAAGTAGTCACCTATCATATCGAATTTTGTGTTTTGTATATTTCTCTGTCGGCTTTTATCAGATTAAATAAATACTCACGACGGCAATTTATTTCATAGAGACAAAAATTAAGGAATTTCACTGTATTACTACAGTAACTGGATAATTTACGATATTATAATATCATTAGACTTTTTTGACATGACAATGTCAGTTCTAATGAAAACCATGCAACAAATGTTAAAACTTGAAAAACTTTAGCGAAATATCACAATTGGTACAACGTAGTTCTGTCCGTTTCATTTAATTTCAAGGTATTGAAAGGAAAAGTATCAATAAGGCCACTTTTTTGGCTTGAGAAATACTTGAAAAAAGATGACATATTCGGAACTAAAATTGTATCTCATTTTTTTATCTGTCATCTGTATCATCTTCTATATGATCTTGATTGAATATAATTGTTCTTGATTATATTTAATAATTTTATCAATCATTGTTTTTTTTCAATAAGTATCGTTTATTTTGAGTTTCTGTTTGTACTGTTATTGAAACATTCACTTCGTATATTATGTAAATGTGCTTTTTCATTCGTTAAATAACGACTATCAATAATCGATCATTAGTAATCACTTGCTTTTGGATTACTGAAAGCCTACTATTATTCATATTCATCCATTCAAAGTGCTACATATATGTTACCATTTATCTTTAAAGTTGATGGTTAAAATGTACTTGACAGAAAAAAACAAATCGAAGCATATGTTCACAATGTTTTCAATAAGAAAGAACATCTATATATAGATTGTTTTTCTGTAACTTCCATGTGTTCAAATTCTAATTGAAATCTAACTGAATCTGAAATGTTCTAGAGTTTGCAAGTGTTCATATATCTCTAGAGAGATATCGTCTTAGTTGCATGAGTTACCAATTGAAATAACTTCCACTACAAAGCAGAATCTGTTCTGATAATTATGTGAGGAAAACATGAATTGAATCCACTACGGTTAATAGCAGCTCAACAAAAGTGAGCTAAAAATGTCAAGTTTGCAAATATTTAGTTTACACGAATTTTAACTTCTGATTATTGAATAACTTTTTCTAACCATCATCAGTACGTTCAGCATGATTTGAGGTCCTTATTGCATTATAAGAAAGCATGAGTTCAAAATTTAGAGCTACAGTTTTGATGACGACAAGAAATTTGTTAGTAGGAAACTTTCACGTTCATATTTCTAGATTGTTAAGAGAGTAAAAATGAACAAAAACGAGCAAAGTAGATTAACTTCAGCACCCTAAAAATCGATAAAAACTAGTGAAAACGGACTGATTTTAAAATTGTTTTCAAGTGTCATGCACTCATACCCACCTGGTGAAGAATAAAGATTTGCTGCAATGTCTTCCGCAATGTTGATTTTCGCCATATGCTGCATTCGCTGAGATGTGCTTTCGCCATTGTGCGTTTCGCAGAATTCTTTTTTCAATGAAAAGCTTTCCGCTTATCTGTTCTTCGCGGAATGAATACCATGTCAACAGTAAGAGAGTGACTCATGACAGTGGTTGATAAATTAAAAACGCTACAGTCATATTACTTCATAGCTTTTAAATCGATGATTTCTGCCTGTTTACTGAAGAATAAGTCTGTCGCAAGAAATGAAATTAAAAGAAAACTATTCATTGATTCTCAGAATCAATTAGAGAAATCACTTAGCCACGTTCTTTTTCTCTCTAATCATACATGAGAATGTGCCATATCTTTATCAACATGATAGGAAGTATGAAATTCACCCATATTTATGCGTCAACTTGGAAAGAAGAAGCACTTACACGTGATGAGAAAATGTTACTTATAGTTTGAGATACAAAAGTGAATGAAGTGAAATGAAAAGTCATTGCATACACAGGCTAACCTACAATAATAATCGAATATGCTTTACATATGCGTTCTTATCAGTTTCTTTATACTGCTTCATGTTAATTGTAAGTTCGAACAGTTTTTGTGATTGAAAGACGATATGCATAATCTTTTTTGGAGGTATGAGTATCGAGAAAGGACAAAGTTCACCATCTGTTACAATTGAATACGCAACACTAACGCAACAGACGAATGACACGTCAAAATCATCCTCAGTACTACCTCTTGATTCTGAGCTTATCGATCAATATGCGTCGTCGAACGAATCAACACTTGCACAAGAAAACGAATCAAGGCTACCATATACAACGAAAGCGATTAATCGTTTACAATCCAAGCAACTCAATGAAGAATCTACCACTATAGTAGATAAATTATCAGGTAATATCACTGCTGATTCGTCAAGTATATGTTGGAAAGTTGTTGTTGGCATTGTGGTAAGTGTCATTATCTTAATGGTTTTCTGTTCTGTCTGCTTGTATTGTTTGGGCAAATATTACGGATTATAAGCAAATCGAACCGACTAGTGTAAATTTACTGACAACTTTCTACTTTCAAGAGAATGAACGAAAGATTCAAACTTATAGATCTTTGATATCTCATATTTTCTCGTGCATGGTGAATAATTGGATATTTTTTCTATTAGTACATCAGCTTTCTCTTTCATTTTTTGTAAATAAAAAATGTGTTGCTTCGTATTTTTTTTATTTTGTAAGATGTGCTCGATTTTCTAACTAGTCATTGCTCAGCTCCATAAGACTGAAATTTACAGTCGATCAATAATTAAAAAAGTAATTGCAGCGATCCACAGTGTATATATTAACATTTCTGTTATCTATGTTGAGCTATATTCTAATCCAAAAAACATGAAGGATGCATTAGCTTATGTATTCCCTGTAGTAGAATAACAGCTGCCCTCTTTTGAAATTTAATACTTAAACCATGTAAAAATATTATTTTGCTGATTCATAAAGATACTTTTGAAAACTGTTTTCCGCAGTTCATGTAGAAGTCATAGGTGAATACATAACAGTATGAATAAGCAAAAATGGACCCTGGTTAGAAAAAAAAACCATATATGTACGACGTTTTCTTAATGCAAATGAACATTAGAATTTATTTTTAAATAAAACAAAATTATTTTAGAATTTTACTCCTAATTAAAAATAAAAATACTACCTGTGACATATTTATTAAACTTAATTTATATTCTACATTATTGAAAGAAAGATGTAAATATTTTTATATTCTGCCGTAACTCATCACTCGCTTGTCTTTTTTTTTCAATGGATGAAATAATAAATTCTATTGCTAACAATACATACATATATTGTAGCAAAAAAAAAAGACAAACAACGTTGTTTTATTGTGTAGGAGGCATGAAAAATTTAACACTTTGCTCGACAATCTGTAGATTCAAATAATTATACTTGAAGTTTCTATTACATACTTTTGCATTATCAAAAGACTATATGTGAAATCTAATATTATAGTACACGTCATTTTATAGGCTTGTGAATCATCCATCCTGATACTATTATGCTATGTGCAAGACAGAACGAAAGAAAGAAAAAAAAAGAATAGTCTAGGGGGCACCCGGGATTGAACCAGGGACCTCTCGATCTGCAGTCGAATGCTCTACCACTGAGCTATACCCCCCATGCTATGATATTTTATCATTATTAGGTCATGTTCAAATTCAACAATACTTATTCATTCTAAATCATTGAGTTCCCAGTTTTGTATCATCGAATATATATATATATATGTAAATATTCTTATTTTGGATCAATGATAAAATTCTACGTCGTCAATATTATTCATATACCAGTAATAAATCGATGTACTATATCACAAGCGAACTAAATAAAAATTTATCTTATTGAAAGAAAACATTTTGATCTAATGATGACTCTAAAATTTAGAGACGCTTTTCTTCTTTGCTTCTTGAAAGATAAATAAATACAAGATTTATTAAAATAAATATTGAGAAAAACAGCTACATATAATCAATATACATTAACGATAAATGAAAAACAAAATTTCATTTTTTATGATGCCGCCGAGAATGTAGACTTGATGCCGATTTTGTTCGTAAAGTACCTGATGTTATCATTGGACCCCAACCTTTTTGTTGCGAGAATGCATAGCCAGATCTTAATCGAATAAAAAAAAAAAAAAAAATCATATTAAAAATAATACAATAAAAATCAAAAAGAAAAACAACGTACCCAGTAGATCTAATTGATAATGATCTTTGTCTTTGTATTGGATCGGTTCGATTTTTAGTAGTTTGTTTTTCATGAATACCAAATTTTTGAATTAATCGAGCTTTATCAATATCGTTTGGCATAAAACGTATACGAAAAAATCTAAATTAATCTTAAATTAATGTTATATATTCAAAAGAGACTTACTCTCGTCCAACAACAGGTAAAAGAAGTATGGCACATATAAGTAGAAGTGTAAACCAAAATGTTCCACTTTTTAATGCTACTTGAAAAATACCAACATATGGATAATTTATTTTAAAAGTTATACGTAATATTGTCGAATACATGATAAAATGTAAAAGAAAATGAAGTGCAATTGTACCTAATAAAATAAAAATATAAATGCCTGTCCAATACCACATTTCAAGAGCATTTTCTATATTAACAACAATAACTAATATAGTTGCTACCATAAAACCAAATGTTTGAAAATCGGTTAATGTTACACCAGATGATTCAGTACTTGATAATATACATAAGTAGGAAAAAAAGAAAATTATACACGATGATATAAAACCATGTAGAGCACATTCAACGAATACTTTTCTATTAAATAATTTATCTTTTTGACCAACTATATACCTGAAATGAAATTATTATTTTTTTGATAAATATTATTCAAATGTTTTCATTTTTTTATTCTTTTAAAAATTTTGCAAGAAAATAAATTTGAATGAAATTAACTTACAAATGAGGTTTAGTAATCGAATGATTTGCGCTTATATCCTATGAATCAATTAAACATTTATTTTATTATTCGAAAATAAATATTATTTAACGTACTTGTTCAAGACAACCTAATACTACAACAGGACAAGTTGTAAAAAAAATATTATAACAAGTGACAAAGAATGCATCAAATATTGTCTATTTAAAAAAAGAATATATATATATAATGAATTTCGTCTTAATAAAGAGATCTTACTTGAGCTGAAAATCCACAATACAAAGCAAACCAAAATTGACAAAATGTAAAAGCAAAATTTTTATAGAAAAAATAACGTAAAAATTTTGATATACGTATATAAGACCATCGACCATGAACAAGTAATAATCGTTCAAGATATCGAAATTGACCAATACTATAATCACTTGCTAAAACAGCTTGTCGACCTTCTTGTCCACTAATTCCAATACCAACATGTGCTTCTATACAAAGAATCAAAAAACTATTTTTATTTCTTTTTTCCTTACTAGTTTAAATAATATCTTACTTTGTATCATAGAAACATCATTAGCTCCATCTCCAATAGCTAATACAATCATTTTATCATGTTTCATAATTAATTCTACTACTTGTGATTTTTGTAAAGGTGTTACTCGACAACATATAACTGCTTTACACATTGTAGCAAGTTCAAGAAATTTCATTTTTAATTTATCTGATAATGCATGAATTAATGCATGTCCTGTTATTAATAAACTAAAACCTTGAAAATCATCTGAATTTATTTGTTTATTTGTATGTTGAGTAAATTTATGTTCATCAATACTTAAATTTTTCCAATTAAGTCTTTTATTTTGATCATCAATATGAATATTAAATGATTGTTGAATTTTTTCGATTAATTCAATTCGAAATCGATTTAATTCATTCATTACATCTTCTTCTGTTTCAACATCAATTCTTTTTATTATCATATCATCTGTTAAAAGTCGACAAGAAAAACCAATATTTTCTGCAGTTTCTAAACAAATAAATAAAGAAATAATTTTATAAAAAAACAAAAAAAAACAAAAATATTTTTTCTACCAATTTTATCACCAGTTAACATCCAAATTTTAATTTCAGCTTCTGTTAATCTTTCAATACATTGAGGTACACCATCTTGAAGTTTATCTTCTATTGCAGTCATACCAAGTAATTTCATATTCTTTTCTATTTCTTCATATAATTCATCAATTTGTTCTTCACGTCTTTGCATACTCGTACTAAATTATGTTTATTAAAATATAATATTAATCACATAATCAATTATACTTACGTAGCTCTTTTTAATTTTTTTGCCCATTTTTCATAATCATTTGCATTCAATTCTTTCCATGCTAAACATAATGTACGTAAACCTTCACTAGCAACTTTCTAAAGAATAGAAACCGTATTTAGATAATCAAATGAATTGCATTCATACATGTAAATGATCATGTGTTAATGTCATAATATTTTTTTCTGATGGATCTAATCTTTCTTGTATCACTGAATCAGCACCTTTACAATATAAAATAATTTGTCCATGTTTTCTCACTATAACCTATAAGTTAAACAAAACTATCAAGCAGAAAGTGAAAAGAAATACTTACGGACATACGCTTTCGATAATTATTAAAATCGAGAATATTTAATAGATCAAAGGTCTCGATTTTATTTCGAAAACGTACTTTGATACTACTTTGAGTACGATTCTAAATAGATAATAGAATTTTGTGTTTTTTTTTTGAGAATAATTTAGTTAATAGACATACAACAAAAGCAAAACCAAATGAACGTGCAGCTGTTACTAACGCATTTTCATCAGGTGATTGAGCTTGATAAATAATTTTATCATCCTGTTCGTCAGTCACAACTGTATGACATAATGCCAAAAGTGTAAAAAAATGATTAACATCATTATCTTCGTTTTTATCAATAGTATCGATTAATGTTTTGTCATACCAAATAAAATTATTATCTTGTTCTACAAATTTAATTGCTTGTAATTCATTAGCAATTCGTTTATTGTCGTCATTCTCATTCGGTATATCTCCATATAATTTACCTCGAATAGAACATTTCTTGAATGTCATTATATTCTAAAAACAAGATGAAACTAATAATATTTTATCAATGATTTCTCTTTTAGAATGGATAATCAAAGACTACGAAAGTATGAAAATCGTTTTTTCTACAAGACAAATAAATAACATATGACACGATGAATAGAACATTCTACAAGTCAAATCTAATTTTCTGAAAAACAGTCTTCAATCGATATGAAATCTATATTGATATTAGTATGATTTCTACTCTATTGATTTTGAGAAAAGTTATAAAATAATAAGCATAAATACAGAAACAAATTCAAATAGTATCTATTTCATTTTTAACTAACGATATTTTTACATGAATATTTTAATTAATATACCTGAGTTAATGTTCCTGTTTTATCCGAAAAAATATATTCAATTTGACCTAATTCTTCATTAAGTGATGCTGTACGTGCTTGAGCTTGTGTATTATCTGGTTCATAATACATACTATTATCCCAATCGATCCATTTCGATTGAAAAAGACGAATAAATTCTATACTAATATAAAGTGATATTGGTACAACAGTATTTAATAAAATAACATAGGAAAAAAAGACAAGTAAACCCATTTGAATAGCACCAGTACGTGAATTAGATGAAATATAAGATTCCCAAGATAAATACATGCGAAATTTAGAACCAACATTATATTCCCAAAATCCACAACCAATCGCCATTATAGAACACATGAGAAATAGAAAAACAAAAATCTACTGAAAATTAAATAATTAATATTTCTAGTGAATGTACTGAGTTCACGCTACCCATATACTGGATAAGTTATCAACCAAGTATACTTAGCAGATATCTGCCAATTTTCTATAGAATTCTATGAAAAATTTGTCAACAAGCTAGTAGATTGAAAAATTTAGAAACATTTTGTATTCAAATACTGAAAGTGCTCAAGTATACATTGGTTTCTATGACATACTGGTAACAGAGTACTCTTATGGATATGTTGAAATCAGTAAATTCACTATGACAATATAAAATAATTTACTCCTAAGATTATTTTATTTAGCCAATTATCAATTTTCGTTCGCTTGAATTTTGGTGTATTACTGTTTTGCATTAGTTTTGTATCTGGACCAGCATAACATACAACTATAATAGAAAAAAAAAGAATCCTATATTGAAAATTCTTTTTGAATACATAAAAATTTACATATTAAAAAACAATGTTTGATGTAAGAATAATTGACTTACTTCCAAAAGCCCACTCTGTATTTCTTAATCGTGTTCCACGCAATAAAAAATTATCATTTTTTAATGAATATATTTGTCTATTCCATTTTAAAGTACCTTCAAATCGAAGAAAGTTATTATTTGGTGGTTCACATTCAATTTCAGCTAAAAAAATATAAATCAACAATAACTAATATTAATCGAATCTTTCTGTTTTTTTTTTTTTTTTTTTAATTTTTACCATCAAATTTTGATAATTTTTCTAAATCATCTTGAATATTAACTGTTACTTCAAGTGCTTCTCGAGGTTTTAAATTTGTTTCACTAAAAAAAAACTGATCTACAAATTTACTTAATTTTAATTAATCATATCTATTACCCATCTAAATCAGCTGTTTCAATTAAACATAATCCATTAGGTTCACTTGTTGAAATTAATATCATATCAGCCTTTAAAATATTAAATTTATTAAATTAAATAGTTAAAAAATATTTTTTACAGGTGTAAAATCATTATTATTAATTCGTATTATATCACCAACTTTAATTTCTCTCCAATATTTTCTAAGAAGTTCTTTATTAATTAAAATATTACAATGTCGATTATTAACTTGTCTATCACTTCGATATCTTGCCTATAAAGAAATCAATAATATAGATTAAAATAAAAAAAAAAAAAAAAACGAACAAAATCATCAACACCATCTTTGATTGCTGTAATTGCAAGTACAAATATTAATGATAATAAAGTAGTGATTGGTTGAAGTGAACTAATTTGTGGTATAAATAATAAAATAAGTAAAAATAAAAAGAAAGCATTGGCAAGTCGAGTAAATTGTTCAAAAAGATTTTTTGGTAAAAATGTTATTATATTATATTTTGTTGTTGAAATTCGATTTTTCTTTGAAATAAATATGTAAAATATAAATATCAATTAATAATTTTGTTAGATTTTTTCTTACTGAAAATTTTTTCGATTCATTATATATTGGATCATTGGCTTTTATTATTCGATTAGCTGCTAAAAACATAGCAATGAAGATTTTTTTGATAATTACTGTTATTCTATCATTATGAGAAAAAAAAACAAATTACTTGCAACTTTATTTTTGTTACAACAAAATATTCTTTGCATGTTTATGTACAAATACCAATCTAAAATAATTAATATGTGATATTATTCATAGTTAATTGTCAAAAACTAAGTATTAGTTTCATTCTATTTAAATTTTCTGATGCTTAAAAATAATTTAAATTATGATATTGTTTCCTCAATCAAATATATTTTAAATATTTCTCGTAAAAATTAAACATTCAAGAAAAAAAGTAAATTTACTAGAATAATCTTCTAATATTAAAATCTAAAACA